TATATATATATATATATATATATATATGGAATGAATACATTTTTTTTAAAATAAAAGTTAAAGTTTCAAGGATAAATAATATTATTTTTTTTACAAATTAAATAAAGAAATATAAAACGAGTTTTTGTGTTTATAAGACATCGGCTTAGATACTGAATATCAGTGAAGTAAGATTATAAAAGTTTAATAGAGAATTGTTGAAAAAAAATAAATTTAATATGCATACATTTTTTAGTTAATATGTTATAGTAGGTATCCTTTGAAATACTGTAAACTGAAATTTCATGTGTATTCTACAAATAAAATTTTTAGATAATACTAATAATAATAATAACAATACTATAAAAACTTAAGTTTGAAAATATCCAATTATATACATACATATACAGTCAAACTTCCATGACTCGAAGTCCAATTTTACAAAGAAGAGGTACGACTTGTGGAGTCTTCGAGTTAGAGAATTTTTTTATTTTATTTTAATTTTGAAATAAACTAGAATTACATTTTAATATATTTATTTATTTGCAATCAAATAAAGCACAGAAGTTAGTGAAGTGAAGTAAAATATTCAGATATTAGGATTTGGGACTTTAATTTTTTTCTTATTTTCAGTAAAAAGAGATTTGACTTTATTCATACTCTTATCACTATCAGTTATAGTATCATTCGTTTCATTCTTGGAAGGCTGATAAAGAATTACATCCACCGAATCCTCATCATCACTTTCCGTTGCGCTTAGAATTGAATCCAGTATGAGCAATAGAGCAATAAAGTTCAATAATATCGTCATCTGTAGGAAAGCTTGATGTATAAATTTTATTGTCAAGCTTAATATAATCGTTAAGAGTAGCACTGGAAGTTATTTTATTTACTTTAAACCACGCCGCCAGCGACTGGCATTTGCTCAAAGAAGCAGCATAAGAAAGAAAAAATTAAACAAAATTTTTGAACAAAATTTTTGTTTGAGATATCGAGAAATTAGAGTTATAGAAGTTTGAGTTATGGAAGCAGAATTGTGCGTAATTTGCTCTCTAAAACCTTGGTGCACTGTTTTTGGTTCGAGTTATAGAAAATTCGAGTTATAAAAGTTCGAGTTATAGAAGTTTGACTGTATTAATATTAAGATATATATTAATAAAGAATTTGCAGAACTTTTTTAAAAGAAATTTTACTCAGTAGTACTTTGTACAGCAGTAAATTACAACAACAAAATTTTATTATTTATACCCATCATCAGTAGTCTTGGAATTTTTTCTTATATTTAATTATTCGTAAATAATTTTTTTAAAACTGCAAGTACGAAGGGTTAAACTTGTGCCCTGCGAAATTTGAAGCTTAGAGTCAGTGTTAATTATTCAAGTGACGCAAAGTCGTACTGGACTTGTATGTTTACTTACTTACTTCTTAGTTAACAAATTCACTTGCTTTGATATATTAGACCGAAATCATAGCCAGTTCAATTAATTAAAAAATAATAAAATTTTGTTGTTGTAATTCACTACTGTTCAAGACACCTCACTATGAAAACAACAGTTTCTATTTAGTAAAATGTTTCCTTTCGTCATAGTTGACTTTTGAAATTGTTGTTTTATACACTTTAATAACTTTAATTTAATTTTTGAGTGAAATCAAATTAAAAAATTTGAGTAATGAAGTGATATTATTGTTTCAGTGATATATATCAAATAACTCTGTAACATATTATACACAAAATTTAGTTAAAGGTTAGTCATTTTACCATATGAAAATTTATACGTAACTATTAAATGACTATTTCATCCACAAAATGTAACTGGATAGTATGAATTTGATCTGAAGGTGTGATATGATCACATTTATTTTGGAATATAACGAAGGTATGACACAAACCTTCAATTGTGACGTTACAGCCATATGATACCTATTTTTTTACGTGAGATTAAGGATGTGGATATGAACCGTATGTGATTTGTATAAGATAATGATAGAAGAAATACAACACGTCTGGTTTAGAATTTATACACTTTCATAAATTGGAAATTTTATGTTTAGGTGATGTGAATTCATCTCCAAGATAACGTGATTTACCATCATTGGACTGTTTTTTTCCATGATTACATAAAGAAGCTTGACCTTTATACGCATCTTGACAAATATTTGTTAAAATATAGCCGAGATGTTGCCAGCAATGTGCAGACAAGTTATAGAAAATTACCTTGCAAGGACGCATTACTTTACTTTACATGTTAGAACT